GGGGAAACATGCCAAGTCCTTGCTCTCAGGAGATGCCACGCCGGCAGGTAAGGCCCAGGGAGGTATATGCACTCGCCAAGGTCACCCAAGGTGTCAGTGGCAGAGCCAGGACGGGGACCCAGGTCTTGGACTCCAGGACCAGACACTCCCACTCACAACTGGAGGGGCTATCTACCTTCAAGGCACACCTGAATCACACTTCTCCCCAGACCCCCTGCAAACACACCCATTTTGTTTTCATCCCACTTTTTCAGTTTCCTTACTTACCATGCCCCTGTCCCCAACTCTTAGTTTCCTTAAAGCGGGAACTTTGTGCTATCATGCTGTGTCCTCAGGGCCTAGGACAGTGCCCCGCCTAGCAAGAAGTGCTCAGTAGGTGTTGAATGACTAAGTGATTGTTTTCTCCTCTCCCTGTCCCATGTCAGCAGTGCTGTGTCCTCTCCCTGCAGCAAGGAAGGGCTGACCTACCCCCTTGGGCCTGGCAGAGAACCCAGATGGGGCAGAGTAGCCAGGGTTGCTTGACCAGCCCCCAGAAACTGGGCACTGCAGTCAGAACCTGGATGAGCCACAGGTGCCCACTTCCCTTCTTAGCCCTCCTCTTGGCATGGAGCTGGGCAGAACCAGAGGTCAGTGCCCTCATGCCACCACAGCCTCTCAGCTGACTTTTGGGGTGAAGCCAGGAGACAGAGCAGCTCCAGGTCTGACATTGTTTCAGTCACACATCCTCCAGGCAACTCCTCTGGGCTCAGCCGCATCTGGGCTCCTATAGCTCTGAGGTACAGAGCAGAAGGGGCCTAGCAGTCCCTCAGTGCCTCCTGCTGACTCTGGGTCCAACCAAGCTCTCTGCTGCCTCTGTGAGCTTCCCCAGGGGCTTCACAGGAGGCAAGGTGTGTCCTCAGCCAGGGGGACATCCTGTTGAGCAGCAGCCTAGTTACCCCCACTTTATAAGTGAATAGTCTGAGGCTCAGAGAGATTAAGGAACTTGCCCTAGGGCACAGTCTAATGAGTGCCACACCAGGAAGCTGTTTGACTCTAAAGCGGGAGGTCATAACCACCACGGCACACTCTGTTCATCCTGCATATGGGTGCTGAGTCAGCACTGGTAAAATCTAAACATGATTAATAACCATGACAAGGCTGATCAATAGCAGCTGGCATTGGCCTGCCCCCTGCCCCAGGCCTGCACTTGGCATTTCATGTAGGGTGGATACAAATATGATTCCCGTTTTACAGATGGGGAAACTGAGGCACAGAGAAGCAACTCACTCAAGACCCCCAGAGACTGTCTCTTTCCCCAGCTTGCCGCTCTGGAGCCTCAGAATCCTAAGGAGTGTGGGTGAGCCTGGTCCCAACACTGGGGGTAAATGTAGGCTTGAACCTCACCTTGGCCGCCCTGGCTTAGTCTTCCCCCCTGTCCAAAACCAGGCCACAGTCCTACCCTTCCCCGGCCCAGGGGGCACACCCTAGGACAACAGGGCAGACGGACAAGCTTCTTCCAGCTCACAGGGCCCCTTCCCACCCAGGCCAAGCCCACCCTGAGGTCAGATGTGGAATCAGGAGGCTGGCTGGCCTGTCCTGCCTCCGCGTGTGACCACAGACACTGCACTTCCCTTCTCTGGTCCTCCACCTGAGCCCTTGTAGCTGCTGAGTGGTAAGGCAAGGATCCAAGCTCAGTCTATCCGAATCCCACAGCCACCCTGGTTTACAAAGTGGGGTGTAAATCAGCAAAGCAGTTAACAGCATCTGCTTCAGTCTTAGGTAGGTCTGGGTTCAAGTCTAACTCTGCTGCTTTCTGGCTGTGTGACTTTGACAAGTTCCTTCCCCTCTCTGAGCCTCAGTTTCCTTATATGTATATGAAGATAATAGTAGGACTTTAAGGGGCTGTTGTGAGCATTAAATGAGTTACTATATGCAAAGCAGTTAGAACAGTGCCTGAAACGGAGTAAACATTCAAATATGAGAAAGGAAAAGTATGTTGGACATTGAGGCTCAATTCTCTGCATTAGGAAGTGACCGGGCTGTTCCAACCTGGCCCAGCTCACTCTCCAGCCTACAGCTTCAAGGCTGTCAGATTTTGTGTAGCCTTGGACAAGCCACTTCACCTTTCAGGCCTTAATTTCATCATCTGTAAATGAGGACGTAAACATCCGCCTTGTTGAGTTGTCCAGAGGATTCTGTGAGATAAATCACTGAAGGTGCCTGGTACCCACAAACACTCAAATGGCAGCATTGTTACTATTATAATGACAGGCATGTGATCAGCGTTGCTCTCCGCGACACTGAACTCCTGAGGGCCATGGGATTTTCCAGCCTTGCCTCATGTGGAAACAGACTGATAAGGGCCACCCCTCCACCCCGCTTTGTGTTCAGGAAGCTACTTGTTGAAATAACATAATCAGAGCAGATAGACAGCCGCCTAAGATTTTGCTACTCAAACTGTGGTCCACGGCCCAGCAGCATTAGCATCTCCTGGGAGCTTGTTAGGAGCACAGCATCTCAGGCCCCATCCCAGATCTCCTGATTCAGAGTCTGAACGTTGACAAACGTCAGGTGATGTGACTCTACATTAAAGTTTGGAAAACACTGCCTTGCTCTGCCTTCTCAAAGTTGGCCAGTCCTGAGACTCACCTGGTGGTGGGTATGAGAAGCTAAAGAGCCCAACAGAGGCTCCTGTCCCAGAAAGACCCACACCTGGGGCACTGGAACCCCCCCCCCCCC